CATGAGAAGCTCTGCACAATACCTTGAGAGCAAGATCAAATAAACAACATTTTTCTTTTCTGTTTGGCTTTATCCCTACTCTAATCTAGTACTTTTATTTTATTAAACTGTCTTCCACGAAGCTCACGCACAAACCCCACCGACAAGCATGTGTGAAGGAGCAGGCTAAAAGCACACGGAGAAGAGGATGGAGAGCAGCCTTCCCCAGGGATGAAGAGCTCGTTTGCACCGACACGCTAACAGCGGCTGCCATCTGCTGGCTAGAAAAAAAAAAAAATTAAAAAATCATCCCTTAAAGCAACCCCTCGATCTGAATTCAAACTTTGACAGACTCTTTTTGGTCCGCTGGAGCAAACATGTCTGCTCTTGGCTTCCTCAGACGCACGCTATGCGAGGACTCGCTCCTGCGCTGAGCACACAGCGCAAGAGGCAAAGCTGCGAGGCTGCAGAGCAGAGCCAGCCCCGACTCGCTCGCATGGGAGAAATAAGAGCACTGGATGGATTCTATAGTACCATCGACATCAACTGTTGTAGCTCATGGGACACTTGAAAGATCCAAACCTGAACATACAGTGCGAGAAAAACTAGCTGCCCAGCTAGTTTTCCCTTATTGGAAGAATTTCCAGGCAACCAAAAGACGGAAAGTGGCACGATGAAAAGGGATGGCTGAAACACCACAAACAGATCTTGAAAAGCATCATGCACAACCCCATTAATGTATCACCTCTCCTAGCTACTACCCCTACCAACTCACAAAATACCATGGCAGCATAAACCACCTCTCTGCTTCATCATACTCCATCCCTTCTCTCCTTCCTCAAGCTTTGTAAGTAAAAAAAAAAAAAGTTATTAATTTAAAGAAATTAAATTAAAAATACTAAATTGAAATAAAAACTGTCTGCATTACTTTCACCCAGAAGCAGGCTCATTTGAAACGTTTTAAGATTTTCCTAATCGCAGCCTTTATGTCAACTACAATGTATTGATTCATATGTAAATAAAAAACCATAGGCCCTGAAATTAAAAAAAAAAAACAAAACAAAAAACAAACAGAAAGGGAACTGTGACAAGCATGATGCAGGCAATGTATGTGCTTGTCATGGTTTAACCCCAGCTGGCAACTAAGCACCACACAGCCACTTGCTCACTGCCCCCCGATGGGA